CCCTCAGCCTGTCCTCATAGGGGAGGTGCTCTAGTCCTCTTAGCAACATTGTGGCCTCCTCTGGACTTGCTCCAACTGTTCCATGTCCTTCTTATGTTGAAGGCACCAGAACTGTTCACAGTATTCCAGGTGGGTCTCACGAGAGCAGAGGGAAAGAATCACCTCTTTTGACCTGCTGCCCCCACTCCTTTGGATGCAGCCCAGGATTCCATTGGCTTTCTGGGCTGATCTCACACTGCAGCTCATGGGGAGCTTTTCATCCACTGCCACTCCCAAATATTTCTTCTCACTGCCTGTGTCAATTCCTTCCCCACCCAACGTGTAGCTGTGCCTGGGATTGCCATGGCCCAAGATACAGGACCTTGCTCTCCATTTTGTTAAACTCCATGACGTTTGCATCGGCCCACCTCTCAAGGATGAAAAAGTAACAATACCTCTTTAAACATGAACACTAATTGCCCCATCAAAAAATTACAATGCATAGAGTTCTTGCACTTCATTTATATATAAACACTGTTTTTGCTGAAAATATAACCAATCCACTTCTGCAATGGTTTAGGAAGCCCAAACTTGCACAGCAAAGCACTACCCACATCTCTAGACAATAATATTTCAAAAATGACCATGACTTTAGTAGAATTTTCATATTTTATATGAAACTTTTAACCACATAATAACAATACAGTGTATCAGGGAATAATTACTTGTTGCTGGTATACAGAACAGCCAACTGATGCACTACATTCACCACCACTTCATAACATCGGGTCACAAAGCAAGACAGCTCCTGAAACACAAGAAAATAAAATGCATGTATATGTAGAGACCATCCTCACACACAAGTTGTCATGACATCAAAAACACTGAACATAAACTACTGAATTTGCAGTGCAAGCTCCAACTACATCCCTAATCCGAGTCAGTAGACAGACTTACAGAACGATGGAAAATGTCCTACTAACAAGCTCTGAAAAAGGAACTGGGACTAAGCTAAGGAGCTGCCAAACACAAGCTTCCAGTACAACTTCAACTACTTATACTATTGGTTCAATTTATCAAAGGCAGTAAGAAGTGGCTTGAGAAGAATACCCAAGTACTTGCAGAGCCAATATCCCTGGTAGCAGAGGATATGATTTTTTTCCCCGCTAGATTTAAGCGTTATACTCTGGGAGCTGGTGATAGCCAAACTCAAATAGAAATTTCCACAGAAGCCTGTACCTACCATAAGAGTGATAAGCTACAGAACACTGCTTTAAAACAAACAAAGTTGATGTCTTTGAGAGCTTTGCTTCAGCAAGACAGAGCATGAGTTCAGCTATGTAACACAAAATGAGCAACAGCAAGTTAACTCTGACCACATAAAGGACTATATTTCTATAATGAACTTTAACAAGGCATTCCATGAGGAACAGGATCAATGAATCTGAGTCTCCCTTAACTGCAGTAATACTTGCTCATTAACACACCATATAATCCCATCAGGGAAAGTCAGTGTGTGATGAGTATCACCAGTCAGCACACAGATGGCTTCAGAGCAGACAGCCCACGCTGGGTAACCAGCCAGCCTGCCAGAAGACTGGCTAACAGCTGAATTCTGTCTTCCTCTCCATCAAAAGTAGGTCTTATTTAGGTTTCTGCATTCTCTTAGTCACTAGTTTTCACAAAATATTACTTTTTATACTTGTATGAGAATCATAGAACCATCAAGGTTGGAGGAGACCTCTAACATGATTGAGTCCAGCCACTGACCTGTCACTGCTGGAACCCCTAAACCATATCCTCCCATGTCAGATCCAGACACCTCTTAAACACTTCCAGGGATGGTGGCTTCACCATCTCCCTGGGCAATATTCCAGTGCCTGAACACCCTCACAGGGAAAACATATCTCCTAACATCCAATCTGACTCTGCCCTGTCTCAGCTCAAGGCCATTCCCTCTAGTCCTCTCCCTGCAGTCATGGCAGGACAGACAGCCCCACCTCTCTCCAAGCCCTGTCAGGGAGTTGGAGAGAGCCATGAGATCACCCCTGAGCCTCTCCTCAAGGCTAACCAAGACCAGCTCCCTCAGCCCTTCCACACAGGACATGTTTTCTAGACTGTTTCTGAGCCTCGTTGCCCTTGCCTGGACTTGCTCCAGCAGCTGAAACAAGTCAAGAGATTCCAGAGGAATGGATTAACAGACAGTTGAGCTCATGTGTCCTGGGCAGGGAGCATCAGCTGGCCCTTTTCACATTCCCAGGAAATAGCCCAATTAACCAGCACATGCATATTAGCAGCAACATAATACAAACAAGATTAAAATGCCTAAGTTCTTCAAACCCACTGTCCTCTGCAGGATCAGGAGCACCTAACTACTGTTTCAGAGCAATATTTTGGCAATATTTTTTGCACATTTTGCCACAGCAAATGTGAGGCTATTGCATCTAGCTAACCAAAAAATCCTAACCTAAGAGCCAATAAACCAATACATGGACATTAGCTCTATGAAAGCAACTTCTCACCTCTTTTGCCAACTTTATATTTTCACATCACCCTTGGGGATATGCTTATAACACTGACTAGAACAGCATTTCCTGGTCTATGGATATAGACTACTATGAGTGGATTTAGGAGAACCCAACAGCTGAAAAAGAACAAACTCTATAAGAAAAACATTTTCCTTATAGCTTTACCCTAAGCACACAGTAACCCACCCTTTGGAGTAACATCCTGCCTTTCCCTTCCTTCCCAAAGTTTCTCAACATCCCCTAACCCATCCTAGCACACATACAAAGTAGGCTCACTAGCAATCCTGCTGTATTTTATGTAGTGTTTGCCCTATAAAGCTACACATCAGCACATACCCCATAAATAAACTTGTGCTACAGAGTGGGTTTGCAATGGGCAAAGGGACCCTCCCTGCTCAGCTTTCATCTGGACAGAATATCCTAGGTCTGGAAAACCACAAATGTACAGTAGCCCTATCTCAGAATCACTAAAAGGTCTCAAACATCTGCTAGAAGCAAACAGTGAATGAACAATGAAACTGATAAAGCTGATACCACAAAAAGCTTGGAAAATGCAGGGGAAAACCCAACAACCCAAGAGATCCTAACAGTTAACTGCACTTGGTCATGATAAAAGAGGTCGAGAAACAGCTCCCTATAGCATTCAACCTGTTATGACTCAGGAAATGACTACGAGACAGAAAACAGGATTTTGAACCTCTGTTAACCTAGAATCTGTTTAAACATTCTAGAAGCTTCCTCTATATTCTCCACTTCAACACAGATATTTCACTACAAGCAATTTTGTGTAAAAATAGAACCATTTTTGGGAACAGGACAGTTACTGAAGTTATATTAAGCACAAAAAACTCCACAGCAGACCGAAACCCAAGAGCACAGGAAATCCTCAAAAGAAAAACAGATCCTGTTTTCATGCAAAGGATCCTGAACAACCAAACTGTAAAAAAATATTAGGATCTTCCACAAAAGCTGAAGTGAGGCACAAGCAATTTTTTCCAGGTGCATGTTTTAATTTTGCTTTCTTCTATCAGCTGAAAAAAACACCATGTATAAAACAATTACACCATTTCCAGTGTTCAAGGAAAACTAACCCTTGCTAATCAAAACCCATAAAAATAGCCATCTTTAACTTTACCAAACAAAAGCAACCTCAATTTACCTTCTTTTACTGAAATTTTCTTAAGTAAATCCTAATTTCTTTGAGCAATTACACAAAGTGAAATTTATTCTCTCATTAGCCTCTGAAGTATAAAAAAGAAACCCCAAACAATCTGTGATGTCAGCTGCTTGTGACAGGTCTGCAGGCAAAACATAGCAACATATCAAATGACAGCAATGTCTTTCAGTCAGACACAGACAAGGTACAGCAGACTGTTAAACCCATTTTGCAAGTAAAATTAAGGTTATAACTGCTGTCAAACAATCAAAACATACTCTACCTGCAAGAAACAAACAAATCTTCCCATTTGTATTTGGCAATCTCCCTCCACCATGCTGGAATCTGTGGCTTAAAAGAGAAACATGTGTCACCACTTCGACAAGCCTGTGTTATACCTGTTAAACTAGCACTGAAGTTTCCCTCCAAGCCATTTGTATGTCATACAAGTGGAGCACACTACTGTAAGCACATGGATGGAGCCTCAAAGACTTGGCGTTTTCCTTTTCTAAGCTACACTTACTTTTGGAGTTTCTTTCTCATTAAAAATTGCATTGTTTCTAAATGAGATGCAGAAAAGTCTTTATCAGCTGAAAGGAAATAAAGCATATAGAACATAATTCTTTAAAGACATAACTAACTTTATATAAGTCTCCATTTTAGAGAAGTTGTTATGAAAAGCAATAGGTATTTATATTGCAGTAAACATCCAGGAGTTATTTATTGACATAATATACTACATGATTAACTCAGAAAGAAAAGCTTTCCGCAAGAAACTGATTTTTTTTTTGCTACATATTATGCTGCACAAAAGAACCAGTCATCACCACAGCTTCACACCATTATCTGTAACACACACTACCAGAGTGCTATGAAATACAATAATAGCATCACCCATGCCAAACTGAGCAGTTTTAACATCACCTGACAAAATACTGTCTCTTTAATGTGATGGCAGTTTAATGCTCCTGACATCAGATGTTTCTATTGAGCCACTGGGAGCAAAAAAAAAAAGGTGCATAAGTTTACCTGCATAAGGAATGCAGGTCTTATTGCTTCATAAAACAGCTTCTTCTAGAGCAGTCAGAGATGAAAGGAATGTTCCTGCTTCTCTATGATAGACCTCTGGGACAAGCTACTAAATATCTAAATACATGTCACCTTTCCTCTGTTTAGTGTATGTCCCCAAAAAAAAAAAACCCCTATTTAAAGTTCCTAGACTAGCCTCTCCAAAGAGAATAGGGGGGGAAAAAAGGTGTTTCTTTACACAGATGGAAAAAGGCAGCACAGTCTTTGTTTAAATTTCAAGCACCCTTGAGCCCATAACCTTGCCAGTCATGTAAAGTAAGCAAGCTTGGTGTTATCACAGCAAGTGATACAAGTAGGGATGTGGAAATGGAGAACAGTTTCTGAATTCCTACCTAACCCACAGAAGGCTGACCTCTCTGTTCCTGCCATTCCCAAGCATTCCCTGCACAACACCCATCAGGAACAAACTGCTGCTGTAATCTATTCATCTGCTACAGACTGACTTTTTTCATGCTAGACACACAGAAAAGTTTTGAGGAATCTCCTAGTACCACTTTGGCAGCATATGACTTCAGCACATTTAAAACCATGTCTGATAAGGCATGAGAATCTGTTGGGGGGAAAAAAAAGGCAAAAACCCCATTAAAACACCCACACACAACAAACTCCACACTTTTTCGTGTTCCTTAACCACAACAGTCATCTTATATAGCACTTAGACTGATAAACACTGCCTAGCTCAAAGATTTCACATTCCCTGATGTTTCTGTCAGTCAAGGCTCTTGAAAAGCTTTAAAAAAGACCTTTTACAAAACTACTATGAAAAGGCTTTCCCTTTCTATCAAGTGGCTGGAATAGAAAACAAATTACTGTGATAAGTCTCTGAATCAACTCATGGATATATTCAGTCCTTAGGATCAAGATCTGTGCTTATTCCCATACTAACATTCTTTAAGGTGGAAGCTTAAGACCAGTCCAGAGTTACCAGAGGAGTAACCAGTTTAACTCCAGAACAAAAAGTAGCTTTCACTTTAAGAAAAGGCTCATGATTTGTCAATTGACTTGACTTACAATCACTTGTGGTGGACCAATCATGGTCTAAACAGCAGTGCAAGTCCTGCTACCTGCACTTGAAGGGCAGGTGACATTAACACACTCCAACTTCCCTTGGAATAACTGATTGCACAAGCCAAGCAGGCAGGACTTTGGCCAAGTGATTTATTAATGGTTTCATTGTTTTATTACAATCAAATCACAGATTTATTGTTTTACTACCACCAGCGCCAAATCTAATCCCAGTAGGAAATAAGTTGGTTCAGGGATGTGTCTACATGTGAAAAAAGGTGTTTTCAATGCCATACCTTGAAAAATAGCTGCTACAGTCTGCTACCTTAGACATTGAATACAACCTCAGCAGCCCACACTCCCTGCTGCTCATGTACATAAGGCTCCAACCAAATTTCCTGTTCATGTAACAGTGCAGGTAACAGAGCTTTAAGGATCAACTTTGTTATCTCAAGCTAACTCAGGACAGTTACAAGTCACTAATACACATCCCTATAACCTCCCAGTTCCTTATTTGGTGTGTATCAGCTAAAGGCTCAGGGAAAGCAGGTACAGATACAAGTTACTGCAGTTATCGTAGCATTTAATGCAACCTGAAGCAATAACATAAAACTTTTGACAGTAAAATGGAGCTACTTACCTCCTTCTCCATAAAACAAGAGGCCATTATAAAATTTAGTTTCTGCCTAACAACAAAAGCAGAAATTTGTTTTTTAATAAATGGGACATATAGAATCACGCTACCAAAATTATTTACACATCACATCTTGTTCATTTACCGCTAAAGAATAAATCTATACATCAGCTTGCCAAGCTGCAAGCATTTCACGCATAGTAACAAAAGCTGAATTTACCTCATACTTTAACTTCTTGATTTCACAGCAAAGAGCAGCATACACAGTTATTACTTTATTTAGAACCTAGACTCAAAGGGGGGAAAAAAAGAAAATCACACAGATTACAAAGAGATTCACATTTAGAGGGCTTGGGTTTAGGCAGAATTGCTTTTTCTTTTTTTTCTTTTAAGCATAAAGCACTTACCTTGTTCTCTGTCTTTATGAGTTCCAGGAGGGAGGACTGTTCATAGGGCAAAAGCTAAAATTCAAAGAAAAAAAGCCAACAAAGAAAACAACCAAACAAAACCAACAAATGAACAAGTTTAGAAAATGCTGGATAAAAAATGTATTTATTCAACTAGGCAAGTATTCCCCCTAGTTTAACCCCAAGTAAGGACCATAAAAAGCGAGCAATAATTGCACATTCCTGGCAACCTGCAGGAAACCTTCAGTCTGCACATGTACATGGAAATGCCTTTCTTTCACTCTGGGCAGAAAGGCTAATAACTGGGTATACTATAGAGCACTACAACAATCTACTTACAAAACTTGAAAAGGAAAAGCATGGCCATTATAACATGAATTAAGAATCCCAAATGCAGGGAACGGGAAGCAGAAAATGTACCTGTATGCAGGCACTGACACTTGGTACTGAAGCCAACCATGATACTGACTAGTCCACATACATCCAGCACTGTGGTGGCCCTACACGTGATCTACTCAAGTTGTTCAGACAAGTGATTGCTTGAGAGTGCACCTTCAGCAAGTTCTATATGGTAACAAAAAATGCTTTGAAATTATGGCTGTAAACTCAGTGAAGAGAAAAAACAATGCTCCACAGATGAGAGAGAAATGTCCACCTCTGGGAAACAGAAATACAGTACCAAGGCCACTAAGTTGACACAAACCCTATCCAAGAAGCACAGTGCAACTCTCCCACATTAATGACACTAGGGCCATTGGGTTCTACCTGTACCTGCAGCCTAGACAGTGCACAGGAACTGTCAAAGTCATACACCACACACACAGTTTGCAGCTATACAGCTATTAGTGAGCTCTCCTGGAACCCCAAGCCCTACATAAAAACATCAACACCCATAGGACAGAAGTTCACTGGAACTATCCTTCTCAACACACAAAGAATTAAAAACTCATTTAACTTCTGCTGGTATCCAGAAGACTAGAAAAGAGTAATATGAAAACCTCTCCTCTTATGATATGTATCAATTTATTAATTACTTGATAATTAAAATAGTATTGGTTTCTCAAACACAAAAGTCAAAATTTTAAGAGCACAGATGCATCAAGTTTTCACTTCTCAGGTTTTGAAAGTAGGAAAGTAAAAGTTGCAATGTATATTAAATATATGAAGACCTTTAATGCAATGGGATCAAGACTGAAGTCCCAAACATCTCCAACAGAGTCATCCAAAGCATCTTCGATTCTCTTCAGCTGAGATGTGTATTCCTCAAGAAATTTTCCATAATTCTTCAGTTGCACTTCAGCATGAATTTCTGAGAATTGACAACATTTGCACAGTTTTAGAGACAGTTCAATCAACTTCAAAACAAACTTTTTATTTAAAACTATTTAACCTGATGCTATTTAGCTTTAGTTCTGTATTCCTCATTTTGCTGCAGCATTTTTCCTTGACAGAACTGCAAAGATCTTATTTAAGACCAGTCCTATAACTTAGACTCGGTTTAAAAGAGTCAAATACTACTTACAGATTATCAAACACCTAAGTGGTTTACAGAAAATTATTGTTTTAATGGTACATATATTGTCAAACTAAGACCTTAACAACCACATAAGGTGCTGAGCAAAGAAACAACTGTAGAAGTTGTAACACAGCAGGTGATTCCGCCCATCAGCTGAAGCAATACATACTAGATCTTCAAGGCAATGAGTCTAATCATTTTGGCCTGGGGAACAGTTGAATTTCTAGCAATCCTCTTTCCCCTCTTTCCCGTCTGCCTCTCAGTAAGTTATCTGGGCATTACACGGGAAGCTTATGGCTTTTAATCATACCCCCCTGTTGCAAATTCACCCTCCTCAAGCAGAGTTTTCATTCTTCTTAGCACCTGGACACTGAAATGCACAATTAGCCTGTTAGTGTCAGGGGCAAGGAGGTTCAAAGTCAGCTGGTCAAACACCAAAAATGGTGGTGGTAATTAGCAAAGTAAGTCTAAAGGCAAGTGGTACAAAAAAGTCATATTTGCTCTATCCTAAGCTTTTTTCTTCCCACATTAAGACACTCCCACTCCTCAAATCATATACAATTACTGCCTTAGCTGCATCATCTGAACCATGGAGTGAATGATTATCATTCAAAGCTTCTACACTCCTTAAGGAAGTACAATCCTTTTTCATCTGAAAACTAAAGCATCTTCCCCATAATTAGATAAAAATTCTAACAGCTTGCGATCTTCTGCTATTTGTTGAACACAGAATAGAAGGAGATGGAGAGGGACTCTGTGTTAGGAACTGCAACTACAGGACAAGGGGTAACGGGTTCAAACCGAAGCAGGGAAAGTCTAGGTTGGATGTGAGGAAAACGTTTTTCCCTGTGAGGGTGGTGAGACACTGGCACAGGTTGCCCAGGGACGTGGTGGCTGCCCTGACCCTGGCAGTGTTCAAGGCCAGGCTGGATGAGGGCCTGAGTAACCTGATCTAGTGAGCATCTGTCCCTGCCCAGGACAGGGGGTTGGGACTAGATGATCTATCACGTCCATGCCAACCCTTAAATTCTATGATTCTATGATTATCTAAAAAACTTAGAGAATGCAGGTCAGCTGAACAACTGAACTTTTCTTAAACTCAACTTTTCTTGAACTCTTCAACTCTCACACAGCTTTATATGTGTCATTTTCACATTTCAGTGAGTAGGCTTGTCTAGAAAGTTAGAAATAATACACTCTTTTATTCTGCATGTTCAACCTCTTCCTCATCCTCGCTGCAAACAGCTGAGCCAAATGTTAATTGATGGCTACTTCTTTGGGAGAGCAGTGCTGAATCAATAATCGCTTAGACATTTGTTGAAGGAAGAAAATATCTGAGACACTGCATCAAGCAGGAGGGGAGGAATGAATAAAGACAAATCATAAGGAAAAGGTGAGAAGGACTATGCACAAAAAGGTTGAGACTGGTAAAGAGAAATGACTGAAGTCCTGAACTAATTCTAAGACAGTACTTTGAAACCAGCAGCAATGCCAACCATAAAGGCAACATAGCCTGCAAAGCCTATCCAAGAAGCACAGTACAACTCTCCCACATTAACTGCATTGGTGCCATTGGGTTCCAGCTGTACCTCCAGCCTGGACAGTGCACAGGAACTATCAAATTCAGGAGACTGAACTTCACGTAAACAGATATGAAGCAAGTGAATACAATGTCCTCCATCAGCAGTGTGCACTCCAGACACTAATGCAGAGCCCTGGAGATGTATCACCTCGTTCAATTCCATCGAGTTCATCTCATTTTCATCTTGCTTCCAGTGCATCTTCTAGAAGCTCTGCTGCAGAAAAAACTGTGAAACACCAATGTGCTTTACACATTCAGCCCTGCAGAATGGAGTTTAACTAGCCACCATGTCAGCTTCAGTAGTCTGCTGCTAGAAAATCTGGTGTAGGGAGATGTAATCATAGAGCTATGCTGTGATATTCCCTCAATCTCTTCTCTTTGCTCTTAGACACACTAAGAACAGACAAACTGACAGCCATGAAGGCTTTACAGGAAGAACAGAAAAAACTTCCAAGTCATACAAGACTTGGAAATAGGCACTACTGTTCAAATCAATTCCCTAGGAAACATGCATTTCCCTACCAAAATCTCACACCACTGTTCTGCTGGAGACCCATGGACTGTCACCTTTCCAGCAGTCAAATGATGGATTTAAACAATACTCTGGCTCAACACAATATTAAGTATTTCCAAACACTTAATCATTGATAGCCATTGATTTGCCACCTTGTACTAACCATTCACAAAACAAGGGAGAGGTGTGACTAATTTCTCACTATCTTAGAGAGCCAAGTGAAAGCTCTTCGCTAGCCAGAGATAGGCAAGGTGATTTGGAGATTGAGGGAAGCTTTTTAAGATGTAGAATAATTTCCCAAAATAAACTGGCTCATGTGGCTGAAGAAAAAGAACTCAATCACAGAAAGTAGATACATTCTTTTTCTTCAAAGCAGCAGACACACTTCGTAAGGTATAATCTGTTTATAGTATTTGATTTGGTTTCTCCTCAGGTGATAAAAATGAAAGCACTATAGTTGGAACAATGCGAGTGATAACTCAGCAGTACAGATCTCCCAACTTAATCTGACCTTCTTCCATAAAACAAGCTATATCCACATTAGGATTTGCAAGTGCCATGACCATGCCTAGGACAGAGATGAAACAAACTACACAAAATACCTTGTATCCTCAGCTGGGAACATTGTAATTGCTAAAGCTTAGTGATACAAAGTGAAAGTAGACAACAAGAACAACAAATGCTCTTCAAGTCACAGGATTTTTCTTTGCCTTTTCTCTAGGAGAACACTGTGTGCTGTTCTCAGTGGAAGATCAGCCTGTTTGCTCACCCTCAAGACGATGATAACAGAGCATATTATGCCATGTAAATTTCTTCTGGCTGCACTTGGTCAAACTAGTGGAGAATTGCATTTTAAGTAAAAGCTACATTTTCCTTTCCACAACCAGAAAACTGGTAAAAAAGCTCTGCTTGGAACAGCTTCAGTTTCCCCTGAAACCCAGACTAAACGAACATAGCACAAACAGTATTATCTCTTAGGATAACACTATATGTGAAACAGTTGGTCCACGAGTGACATATTTTCACAGAAACACCTGGTATGATTAATTTGGCACAGTTCAATTTGTATTACAGTGTGACAACTATATATGTTCTCTGTTTAGAAAGTAGGTCACCTCCATGGTCTGAGTAAAACATGGATTTTGACAGGCACACAAACCCACTGTCAAAAGCTTCAGCATCACAAGGTCTTATTTCATTGTATTTTAAAGGTGAAACTGCACGTAAGCACCTGACTGACTCCACGCCAGAAAACCTTCACCAATGAAAGCGGCACACAACCTGTCTGGACGTGACTTCTCTGGATAACCAACTGTAACAAATTTGTGAGCCACGAGAAACTATGGGGAAGGAAAGACACATCATGCCTAAAACCAGCATCTGTTCCTCCTGCAAGAAGAGAATCACACGAACTGCCCTGGCCCTCCCCGACACACGGGGGGCACCGGAGGCGGCTCCCCGCGAGGAGCAAAGCGTGAAGGGCTGGAAAAGCCACTCTCCCGCGCCAGGACAACGCCGAGAGCGGGGAGGGGGTGGGAGGGCAGAAAGTGACGGCGGC